TTCTGTCAATTTGGATACAATGCCGTTGTACAATCCTGAAGCTTTTAGCAGTCCAGTCGTTCCAGAAGTGGTAAAAGCAGGCAGGACAAAGAATAAAGGGTAAGGCATAGGAATCTTATTCTGTAACACGTCTTTTATGAAGCTTCACTTATGGAAGCTTTGAGTATCTTTTTATTTCTTTTATAACAGCGAAATTATAATTCGCTGACTACAAATGGAAGTATTAGTGATCATATCATGGTAATTTATTAACTTTATGGCTTTTTAAGAAAGTAGTTTAGTCTGCTCTGAAAATTTAGTTCACGTTATACATTTTGTTCTGAAGTAGCAATAAATCTAGGATTACAGATTTTAAGGTTTTTGCTGATATATTGGTATCTTATTTATTTTTTTGAAATCTTTTATTGGTTTTATTGGCATCGTTTTTTCTCTTTCTATCAATTATTTTTTTGTCGGCGGAAATTTGTCAACTTTTATGGCGCATTTATTGTTTTGAAGTTTTTTCACGTTTCAAACGAGAGGAAGTCGCCATATTTTTCTGCATATGTGAGAATCATTGATTTCCTTTCACACTTAAAGACGAAATTTTCCTACAGTCCCTTGTTTACTTTAAGTTTCGCTTCAATTCTTTATCTTGATTGCTTTAAGAGGGAAAAAGTCTATTTATTTTCTTACTACCGAAATCTCATTCTATTCGTCCTTAACTAGCTGAGCTTCATGAATCTTTGGTTGCTGCTGTCAGCTTCGTTTAGCAATTACGGCTTTTATGAGAACGATATAGGCATTAGTTCTAAAATTGAATGATTTCGATCTTCAAAACAATGCCACATAGGATGCTTTGTATTTTAATCGTCTTCTCTGTGCCTCTCTGTCTCGCGTGTTATTTTTCGGCTGTACGCGCACGCTGCTCAGAGTTCAGTGTGTTCCTTACCGCGGCATTGTCACTCCATTGAATTTATGCGCTTGTATCCAGTTCTTTTAGCCCTCGTGATAAACATGCAGGTCCTTCACATTTCACGCTTGAAAATTCTTCTATTTACTAATTCGTAAGGTTTTTACCTTTACTCTTCTATTTATATTAGTTTTCCTCGTTAATTTAATCTTTTTATTTCATAGTTCATCCTACTCCAGTAACAGTGATGGCTCGAAATTAATAAGTGTTTTTCCAAACCGGCCAAGAATCACTATTGTCTTGTTCGGCTAAAAATATTACGGCTATGTCGTAATAGTGGTAATTATTACGGCACTAACACTGCTTTTATTAGGGAAATTACTTTTCTTCTTTTCTTAATATCTGGTGCATTGCTATTTTCAATTTTTCCGAAACTTTTAATGCTGATGAATTTTTTTTGGCAGTCATATTTCCTTTTCTTATTGCGTCGAAGCAATAAAGATTGGCCCCCTTAATTTAGGTCACCTTAATGAATTATAGTTTTTGAAAGCTATACAGGTGAGAAAAATTGAAGTGCCTTCAAGAAGTTTATTTTCCCAAACTGTTTATCTTAGCAGCGTTTGGCAGAAATTATCAGTTTATAAGCGTTTGTTTCTAATCGAAAGCTTGTTGATCCTATAGTTCCGGTGTTTCATTAGGTTTTCATTAGGTTTTCACAAGTTTTAGCACTTGTTCTTCGTGCGCTTATGCTTATTTTATTCCTTATTAACTTGCTTACACTTTCTGTTTGGCGAATTGATCTTTTTGCCGCATTTATCGCACTTTTTCTAGTCCTTTTTTGCTTTAAAAAAACGCCATAAAACTTCTTCATTTTTTTTTCTCTATTATTTTCTGGCATTTTTTCTGCTGTATTGCTTTTTTGAGTGGTTTAGCAAGCTTTCTTTTGAACTTTTTCTACGTTTATATATTTACTAGTTATTTTTTGACTGAATTCTTAGTTCCCAATTAATTTTGTTGTCCGAGTTCCCCCCTGCCCCCTATGCTGTTTTTTTTTTCGCATAACCTTGGGTGTTTTTAGAAAATTAGTTTTTGTTACTGATAGGAGAGTATTTATTCATATCAGATTGTACTTATTTTTAATTAACAAGAATTTTTTTAGCGCATGCTAGCATACAGTAGTTTTTTCACGACTTCTAAAGTTTATGCTCTCTGCTTTCAACTGAAACCTTTACAGTCGGCACGCTTCCTTGAATGGAAAACTGGGGATTTTTTGGTAGTGGTGTAAAGTTGTAATGATCTTCTTTATTTTCCTGCAGGCGATTTTGCTGGTATCTAAGTGGTGCTGCTGGATTGTATTTCTGTAGTGATACTCTGTTTTCGGAGTGGGGGAGATGGGCATGTGAAGTCGCGTATTTTTTTTTTCACTACGACAGCGTCATCGTTTCTCTACGCGTGATTTCGCAAGGTATCATTGTAGGTTTTGAAGCTGTTTTCGCGAACAGAGTAATTTTGAAGGGAAGAAGATTTATGAAAAGTCGCAGATTGTCAGCGACTGATGGATTTTTTATTTTTGGCCTTATGACTGACAAGATGAATTTTTGTTGGCAATGTCATTAGCGCGGGTCCGGAAAAAGCGTCATGGTGCTGCTGTTGCTGCATCAGCGACGGCTATACCTGATGACATTACTCGTGCTCGTTCCGATTCTGATGTGGAATTTCCTTTTGACGCAGAACAAAAATTACATATTGAAGACCGGTCTTTAAAAAAAAGAACGGCGTTCACTAAGAATATTTCTAGTGGTGATGACGAAGCACAGGGCGTGGGTAAGGCAAGTGATGGGAAGGAAAACGGTAAGAAAAGAAAACGATCGAGCGAAGAAGAAGACTTCTCGGCAAAAAAGTCAAAAAGCGACGAGAAGCCAAAAAAGGTTTGTTTTTGATAGGTTTATTTTCGCTCGTTAATTTCTTTTAAGTGGTTTCTTTCTTAGAAGCTGAAACAAAAATGAGAACTGTATTTTCTTCACAATAATTAAATCCTTTTTTTTGTATATTGATTAGTGTTTCTTTCTAGGCTTTTCATGAACCGGGAACTGTTGTGGCAGTGTTTGACGATGCTTCAAAAAAAGGAACTTGGATTCCTGCTGTTGTCGTTTCTTCGAAAGCATTCGGAAATTTTGCAAAAGGAGGCGTAACACTAGGGAGGAATGAGATACCTTTGAGGGGTTTTAGAGATGCAAAATAGTAAGTTATTTTTTCACAGTCAATCTGGACTCTGAACATTTCTACCCTTATGTTTGGGTTCATTCATTTCAATTCTCACACATGCTTGGAAGTTTTAGCAACTGGATCATTTTCACTAGAAAGTTGACAACGCATTTTCACGTAAAGTCACGCGGGGAAATAGTTTTGACATACCAGTACCCTCCTATACTTACTAACAAAGATATAGAAGAGCATTATGCAGCAACTTTTTGAGTATTTCGTCAAGCTGTATCCCGAGTGTTTCTTTTTCGATATGAGTGCGTTACAGCTT